AATTCCTAACGCTTGAAGCAATGTGCAGACGCTCCCCAAGTGGGTAGCTACGAACTCACATAGTTGTGGCGTGGAAGAGGGAACCGGGAAGGCGCAAGGAAGCGTCCGGCCAGAAAACGCTTGCTGAGGAAGAAACGCATCCCGGGGTGGTGAAGCCAAAGCCCAGAGAGAAGAAGACGGAGCGCTGCACAGCAGCGTGATGAAAGACAGAAACGTTGGCAACAGCTCCGTTTACAGTAGGCGGCACTGGGGGACTTTGAAATACGCGAAGGACGGGCCTCACAGTCCTTTCCTTCCTGGCTGCCCTTATAAATAACCGTGACAGAACAAAGCCGTTGGCCCACCCAGAATTACCCATTGGATTTCAGCCCCGCCAGGATTGATGATTGGCGAAGTGGGCACTAAATTATCCAGCGGTGGTGCCACTCCATGCTTGCAGCTGGCCAATTAACCAGCCCAATTTATGGGCTCTTGTGTGATGAATCGCCCAGGAGCAGCTTATAGGAAAGACAGAGATGGCTTTTCTACCCAGTGGTTTTGGCTTCCAGGCGCTGCTCTGTCCTGGCACTGTTGAGCAGCCAGCAACGCGTGTGGGCCCTCTGGGCCTGGCAGGTGGCTAGCCGGGCATGGAAGACGGATGGTGCGGCAGGAAGACTTGGGAAGGCAACCAGATGGAGCACCCTGCCAGAGAGATCTGGAGCGCCTCTTGGCGTTTCAGGAGACGGGGTGGGATGGGCTGAAGGTTGACAGGACAGCTGAATTGGCCACGGACGGGAGCCACGCCTTTGGAGCGCACGTCATCAGAGCCAACTGGAGCGTGGCGGCGCTTCTGCTGCAGGATGGACTGTGGTTTGTTTTGCAAGAGAATGGGTTCGGGGAAGATGCTGCTCGTGGAAGAGAGTTTGAGAGCAAAATTCCGCTCGGTGCCAAACATAGGTGTCCTGCAGAGGCTTTCCCAAGGTGCTAAAGCAGGTTTCTCAACTTTGGTAACTTTAAGGTGGGTGGACTGCAACTCCCAGAATTCCCCA